TTCGAGAAAATGTCTAACATCCTCGAACAATCAGCTTGATTAATATAACAAAACTAAAATAGATTTCTTATGAACAGCTGTAGAAGAATTATTATACCAATATGAATAGTCCCGGGGATTTATTCAAGACGCTCGATTTTCATGGCCATAATATTGTCTCAACGAACAATAAGCATTCAGAAAGCCACCTCTCTATTTGTTAATGAAGATACAATGGTGATCGATGGAGTTTTAGCATGAAAAATATTAAGGAAAGCTTTATATAAACGTAGAGCATATATTCATGGTGATTTTCTAAGCTTAAATTACATGTGGCACAAGACTGAATATTTGGGGCACCCAGAGAGAATCGAACTCACTGTTCAGTCATAATTGATCTAGCGGGACAACCTTCCTATGTTGTAGTTTTTTTGGCATATGTTTACTAGTGAGCTAGCCTAAATGGGCTGACTCATTTTATAGTTCACCAATAGAAGGGTTAACCAATCAGAAAGCTCAAAATATTCAATGCGACGTGTATAAAGGCAGTCATTTTTTTCCCAAATTGTCTGTACTGCCAACCTGATATCGAAGACTTAAAGAATTACTTAACAACCGCTACTTTCTTTGAATCTTCACTGCCAAACTCTGATATTGAACAGATTCAGAGACTGCGGCAAACATGGTCAACATGCTAACCATTACACAATATCGAAATGCCTAAACGATTTTCTCCGCGTACCTTAGACGTGTAAATTTTCGAAACTATGGCGCATTCAGGAAGGATCGAAACACACTAGTCAATCGTAAATGATCTAGCGAGACAAAATTGATAACTATTACACCACGTCGAAGTGTCCAGATGATTTTCTAAGCGTAGCTTAGATGTGACACACTGCTGAGTGTGTTGTGTAACCAGTGAGGATAGAACTCACTATTTAATCGTTATTGATCTAGCGAGGCAAATTTGCTAACCATTGCACCACGTCGATATGACCAAAGAGGATATACTTATGATTTGCAAATAATTTCCGAGTAAAAACGGTTTATATACAAATTGTGAATGAGATTAGCTCATATCCAAGATCAGAAAAAGGAAGAGAATAAAACGTATTTTATATGATTTTATAAGTGGGCATCACTAGCCGGAGCCTGAAGCGTGCTTCACGTCGTCTCCAGTCTACAGCTCAACTAGCCACAAATTAATAATAATGACTGAAAAAAATTTCACGTCCAGGGTAAAACGATAAACTACATCCGACAGCAAGGCAACTGATCAGGAGATTTTGAGGAAAGTGCAATCACCTCTTAATTGCTGTTTTTTCCAGATTAACTCTGACCCGCGTTGGTAGAAAGTGTTAGGTTCCCAGCTTTAGTCCAATAGTTAACCTCCAAATTGGTGTCAAAACACCATGAAACCGTAAAAATTGGTTTTAAAACCAGCAATACATTTTTTCTAAAAACTTATTACCAGCAATGCATTTTTGAAGAAAATAAATATTAGCAGCAGTATATTTTAGGGAAAAATATTACCAGCAATAAAAATCTTGCTGGTATAAAATAACACATTAATGTTGATATGCCGTAAACCAAACCAAACCAAACCAAAACCAATCAGCGCCATATAGGAGGATTGATATTACATAGCAGTTGAGCTTTTAACTGGATGAATTTTGCTTGTCTAATACTGCTTCCGATTTCGGTGTATCATTTTTCTATTCTCTGTTAAAAAGACTTCCTAAAGGCTTTTAACAGAGAATGGCTGAAGACAACTTTTTTATTTCTTGGTTCTCTAAACACCGTTTTACCACCCGTCTTTGTTTCCGATCTGAGGTCCAATCATAATAATTAATTGTGTAGTTTACTCTTTGCTTCACTCTGAACCTCCTTCAAGTGTGTGTTAAATTCTCTAAACTGTCTTTCTTCACTATGTAATCCTATAAATCTTAACCGTCTGTTTCTGATCTTAAGTATGCATATACGTCTTATTACAATTTTTTTAAACATCTTCAGTGTACACACACTTCTGATGCTTCAAGTCTCTTCTTCATCTCTGAGGAAAGGAGAGACAAAGAAGCATGATGTCTAGCATTCGCTACCATATAGGAAGGTTGATATGGCATAGCAGACATTTTTGTTTTTTGAATAATGTTGACTCTATACAAGGCTGAAAACCACTCGATGTAGAGAGCAGAGAGTTAGAGAATGAACGAAGAAAACAAAGCCTAAGTCTTATCTCGAAAAAGAATTCATGTTATCTGTCGTAAAATAAAATCAGAATCCAAATCAGGCCGACTATAGGCAGCCTCGAAATATGCTAACTGTTTGCATTTCTCGATCAAAGCAGTCTTACCGCAACGGGTGATAGACATGATGCTATTTGAAGCTAAAGACGGTCGCTCTGCGTTGCGATCTGTGGATTTACCGGATATCCGGTTGAGCTCTCTAAGGAAAAAATGGTGGCTTTAAAAAACAGCGGCTCTTACTGCTATTAAGCATTTCTCTTCAAGTTTGATTTGAATTCTCCGAGCCGCTGGGATATTTCGTATAGAGAAAAACGTTAAAATTCCTTTCCTTTCTGCCGTACAACAATGTCCCAAGGGTAAGATTTCTGACTGACGTCAAATCAGTCGGGTTTCGATCCAGACTTGATGCAATCGGAGTCTAGACACACTCAGGAGTATTGATACAGCTAAATAATCTGTTTGTGGACTACTATATATGTATATATATATATATATATATATATATATATATATATATATATATATATATATATATAGTTAATTCCATAGAGGACATCAATCCAAGTAGAGCTCACTGTAAGAAACAAAGTAATATAATGATGAGTACAGACAAGTTTAACATCCGAGGACGAATGTTTTCTATGAAAATTACTCGGATATTCAGGCCGGTAAATGTTGTTTAATACTGTTTATTATAAACAGAGCATTTACTTAAATATTGGTATCTATAAAAAGAATGTGCAAACCTAAAATGTCTGTATATATATATATATATATATATATATATATATATATATATATATATATATATATATATATATATATATAAGGCAGGATGTGTGTGCGTGTGTGTGTAACGAATGCACGGCCGCAATTTTCGACGGATTTACACCAAAATTTACATGCACATGCTGCAAGTTAGTGGAAAGGCCAAGACCGACCTTGCATTTCCCAACTCCCATCCATAGTGGAAATAATCGAGTTTTTCATGATTCTACGGCAGTTTTCATGTAGTTTGCGGCCATTTTCTATTGGCCAGCGTGAGAGGCAACAACTGACTGGCGAATGTTAACTAGCATGCTAGCATGCAAAAAAAAATCGATAGCTGCATTCCTCACAAGTGGGAAAAATTTAAATCTGCATGGCACTTTACTCCAATTGGCTCATTCACTTGCTTAAACTGAACGTTGATTCTGATTCCGCAGAGCTGGGTTGGGTGTGAAAAATATTTGTTGTTAACATTCTTTTTTCATTCGGTTTTTCCAGTTACGAGTCATTTTTTAAAGCAGAGCGTTTTGTGTTTAGTTCTTTTTTCGTAACAGATTTAATGTTTAGTATAGAGCTAAGAAAAAATTCGCAGTGTGAGATAGGCAAGAAGTAAGGCATGTAGCAACATCAGCACGTCAAACGGCACTCATTTAAAGGCAAGGAAGGGCAAAAATATTTTAAGTCATGTGATAGCCATTGCTGTATGAGTCGTACGATTTTTTTGAATCAAGCACGGGCAACGCCGGGCCATGCTGCTACTATATATATATATATATATATATATATATATATATATATATATATATATTCATCTTGACCGACGTTTCTTTAATAAAATTTTATTTTTAAGAAAATTTCACTCAGAAGAGATGGACATTTGTATATTTATTAAATGAATTATAACCGAATGGATTTTAAGATCGTCTGTACTTATATATATATATATATATATATATATATATATATATATATATATATATATATATATATATATATATATATATAAATGTAAATCCAGAGCAAATAATTTAATTAAAACAGACCACTTTAAGGTTCCATGTAATAAATTATTTCATTTTCAAAGTAAGCAAAAAATAACAGCGTCTGTTTGTAGCCCTTTTTTTTTTACAAAGAAAATTAGTGACATCTTTCATAACTTCCTTCTCTTTTTTTCTCTCTATGGGTTTTTCTTCTCTACCCTTCGATATCAATATATAACTTCCGTTAAGTTAACCGTTTAAATGTGTCAATGTCTGCTAACTCACTCATGTCTTCTCTCCCCCCACTCACCTCCTCACTTCGTTAATTTACATATGTTTAATACGGCCCATCAAAAAATGTGTAAATTTTCTTTTAATTTTCGGTTTGGAAGTAAAGTCTGATGTTCCGTATTCCTTTTAAAAGGGCTGTGGTGAAATAATTTTTTACATGGAAAGTTAAATGAAGGGACTGTTTTTATTTTATATATATATATATATATATATATATATATATATATATATATATATATATATAAGTATATATATGCATGTATATTACCGCCTTTTTTTTTTTAGCCCCCGGCGTTTCCGGCTATTAAACTTGTCTGACTCACTTATGATCTTTTGAATTACAACCGTAGACATACTTTTCTTTGGAATAGCACCTCTCCATTGCAATTCTGTCTCTTGTTTTAAAATTCCGTTCTTCTGACATCAGCAAATCGCAGTTCGCGTCTCTTGCTGACAAACATAACAGTGCTTATTAGAATGAACCGATAACAAAATATTCAATTTATCCGGCGTCGCATTTATAATATTATAAAGTTTGACTTAGATAAAATAAATACTTTTAAAAAGATTTTGTAATATATTAGATTTTCCTGAAATTTTGATTAAAAGTTTTGCAGAAATAATATTACGCCGAGACATTAATCGAATATGACACTCTTGGCAATAAGAACAAAATATTTCATGACATCAATGCAAATATTCCCCAATACTCTCTCCTCTGCTCTTCCAATTTTGCTTACGGCCATATCACGTTGAATCATCGGTTCTCGTATGATCAGCGAAGTTAAGCAACATCGATCCCGGTCACTACCTAGATGGGTGACCAATTGGGAAAATCAAGTGCTGTCAGTTTCGATGCCCGGGTCATATGTATTACAGACATATCACGCTGAAAGATTCGTTCTCGTACGATCACCGAAGTTAAGCAACGTCGATCCCGATCTCTACCTAGATGAATAACCACTTTAGAAAATCAGGTGCTGCAAATTTCGATGCCCGGGTTATATCTGTTGCAGACATACCACGTTGAAAGATTGGTTCTCGTACGATCACTGAAGTTAAGCAACGTCGGGTTCGGCCAGGGCATAAATGGGTGACCGCTTGTGAAAATAAGCTGCTGCCAGTATCAATGACTGGGTGGTATGTCTGTAAGACCACACTAAAACGCCGATTCTCGTAAGATGACTCAAGTTAAGCAACCTGGAGCTCGGTCAGTACCTAGATAGGTGACCGCATCCAAATACCATCTGCTGTAAGATTGGATGTCCTGTGTTATATTTTACAACCGTAGCACATTGAAAAATCGGTTCTCGTACGATCAGTGAAGTTAAGCAATGTCGAGGCCGGCCTGTTCCTAGATGGGTGATGACATGGGAAAAGCGGGTATTGTTAGTTTGTATGCGGTGGTGGTACGTCTTACAGACATATCATGTTGAAACACCTCTTCTGGTACGATCAACTGGGTTAAGCAACATCCAGTCCTGTCAATATCTGGATCGGTGACCGGTTGCGAATGTCAGGTGCTGTAAGTTGTGATGCGCAGATGCTCTGTCTTAAAGCCAATATCACACTGAAACGCATGGTCTTGTACGATCAGTGAAGTTAAGCAACGTCGAGTCGGTTAGTACCTGAGAGGGTGACCGCATGCAAATACCATCTGCTGTAAGATTGGATGTCCGGTATTCTATTTTACAGCCATAACACATTGAAATGCCGGTTCCGTATGATCACCGAAGTTAAGCAACGTCAGTATCTACATGGGTGACCGCTTGGGAATATCAAGTCTTATAAGCTTGGATGTTCGTTCGGTATGTCTTAACGGCCATATCACGTTGAAAGACCAGTTCTAGTAAGATCACCGAAGTTAAGAAACCTGGAAACCGATCAGTATCTAGATGGGTGATCGTTTGGTAATACCAGGTGGTGTAAGCTTTGGTGCCAGGGAGATATGTCTAGCAGTAAGATGTGCGGTGGTATAAGGAATAGCAGCTCGAAATTGGGGATCTCAGAATCGAATTTCAAATACGGTTGGATTCGTTATACCGGGTGTAACAGCAACATTTTCCAACTGTTAAATTAAACTTTGAACTTAGAAGTGATTAAAGATATCTTACTGGAATTCTCGCTGGTTTTTATAACACTATTGGACGCCACTTTGAATTATATGAATGTATTTAGCTCTAAGTTTAAATGATGATTCATCTTCCTGTTGTGACCTCCTGATCCAGTTTCCCTTTCTACTGTTCCCTCTTTTTAAAACTCATTTACCATTCTCTTGAACGTTCTTGAATGGACTTCGAAGATAGAAGCCAGATTATGAATGTTGGTATCATTACTGAAGGTCTGAATAATCTTTTTCGTCTCACTATAGCACAGTTGGGAAGACAAGGTGGGGCGGACATAAAACGATTTTAACCTGTTCTCTTTCTAGCTGAATAACTCAGATGTTTTTTAGGTGATTCTTACGACAAATGGTACCAATATGGCTAAACGTCTTATCTGAAAACCTGGAAAAAAGAAACGGAATTAGTTTAGTGTTTTTTTTTTAGTTATTCAACATTTTGTGGGATGGACAATTATCCCACAATTTTGCTCTTATAACCGGTATTCACGCACGGACAAATACACTCCACCTCTTCTCCGCGCGATTCTTAGTTAATTGTTAGAAATTGTATCAATAAATATTTTAACCAAAAATATTTTTAAGCTTTAATAAAATCTTATAATTATATGTAACTATTTTAGGGTGTAAAATTAATCTGTTTTTCTTAACTCCAAATTTAGGTATTATTGCTCAGTCCAGACAGAGAATGTTTTTATTCCTATCTCTTAATTCTCAACATTAAATGGCATAAGCTCATGCAAGTCAGTCTCTCACAACACAGGTATATACGTATTTTTTAATCTTTGCAATCCAAGCAAGGCGATAATGTCACTAAAGCGTGGGGGAAGGGGGTTACAGGGAGTTAAAGTGAATGAAAAGACTGAAAATGGAGAGGATTGCGGAAAGTACAAAAGAGAATATTCATGAAAACGGAAGAAGGCGATTGTAGTTGTCAGGGAAGGGATTTTCACTAGTGGGAAGTACGAGAAATGAAATTGTTGGAGTAGAAGTGGCGGTTGTGTCTAATTAATTCAACAGTAAAAGTGTGAGACCTACTTGCCAATCTAGTAACACGCTCAAATTCATATAATCGGGACACCAGGGAATAAAGTTCATCAGAGCAATTGTCATGTAAATATTCGTATTTGGAAAGCCAGGTCACGTCGGTGTGAAAGTGACTGCAGTCGAGATGCCAGGTCATGATCGATTACATTAAAGATTCTTCTTTGGATTTTGTTAAGGAACTCGAGATGTACAGCAGGAGTATTAGACCAGATATGGCAGGAGTATTCAATATTGATCATGCTGTGACTAATGATTATATATATATATATATATATATATATATATATATATATATATATATATATATTAACCTTATAAGGTTCAGATTCTGAATGTGGCTTTATGGCACATTGACGAGTAAATAATGGTCATATAATAACTGATAAGAATTTTGAAATATATTCTCATAGTCTTTTAATTACATCTCCATAGTTTGCAATTAATCGGAAAAGCAGGAGAAATAAGCCTCGTCAGAGCAGAGTAGCAAGGAGAAGTATTTGTAGAAAAGACAGAGGGAAGCTACGGCACGAAGTCGAAATGCCAGGTCAGGATCGATTACAATGCAGATTTTTCTTTGTATTTTATCAAGGAGCTTGAGATTTACAGTAGGAGTACCAGACCAGATCTGGCAGGAGTATTCAATATTTTCGTAGTCTCCAGGCCATTTTAAAATATGATTTATGGCATATCGACTTCTATATTCTACTTTAGTTCTTTGGCCTTTGACCCCTGCGTCTTAGTGGGTTTATCGCCTTACTTAAGGCGATAAACCCACTAAGACGCAGGGGTTAATGGGAGTGAAAGTGAAAGAGAAAACTGAGAATAGGGAGGAATGAAGAAAAAACAAATGATGAACGTATTGCTGTCATATATGGTCTTGTGCCCCCGATGTAAGTCTCGAGTTCCCCGACAAAATCTAGATATGCAATGTGATAGGTCCTGATATGGCATCTCGTCTACAGTCGCTTTCTCACAGACGTGCCGTGGCTTCACACTGTCTCTTCTTTCATTTCACGGCAACTGTTCCGACGAGTCGCTTTCGCTAGTTCCCAGACTGCATGAATTTAAGCGAGGTACTAGGTCCACCCTTTCACTGTCGAAAAGGTTAAATGTAACAGTTTCTTCTACTCAAACAGCCTCTTTTCTCGCACTTCCCGTTTGTGGTATTCTGTTCCCCTTACTTGCTTCCCTGATAAGTATGATCTTCTAATATTCAAGTGTAATGTCCATCGACATCTTCTGATACCTTGATCTTGTTCCCCGTCCTTCTCTTTATCCCCTCCTAAGACTCGCTTCTTTACTATTGTTCCCTACCTTCTGTAACCCCTTGCCTGCTAGTGACTCTCCTGCCTTACTTGGGATGTAAAGCTTAAAAAGAAAAAAAAAGGGAAATCAAGAAAACAGAAGATGGCGATTGACGTTCCATTTAATTTTTTGAAGATTGTTCTTTTCAGGGAAGCAAGGAATCAGAAAGGAGTTCCACATGTGGGAAGTTCGAGAAAAGTAACTGTTAGAGCAGAAATTGCAGTTGTATCTAGCGAGTAGAACAGTAATAACGGGTGGGACCTAGCTTCCAATCTAGTAGCAAGTTTAAGTTCATGTAGTCGGAGCAGCAGGGAAAAAGCACGTTAGATCAGTAGCTATGAAAATATTGGTAGAATAGACAGAGAGAAGCTATGTCACATCGGTGTGAATGTAACCGATGTCGAGATGCCAAGACAGAATCGATTCCATTACAGACGCTTCGTTGGATTTTCTCAGGAATTTCGAGATGTACAGCAAGAACACCAGACACAATATAGCAACAATATTCAATACACGGACGAATGGTAGATTTATAAATGTGCAAGATGGATTCTCACCAGAAAAGTTTTTTTGGCACAACACAGTGGACCAACCATCCTTGCAGTAGATGCAGCAATTGATTCGATATAGTCCCTCTAATTCAAGTCTGTTGAAAACATGAAGCGAAGAAGGCGTAGAGCTTTGCTCTCCTGGAGTTTAGCATCAGCCATACTGACGGCAGGACGACAACGTTCTCTGCTGTAATTAAATTATAACAGTTTTGTTTCGGAGACGTTAAAATTTACACGCCATGGCTTGCCCCAGTTAACCACTGATGGAATGTCCTTTTCAAGAGCCGTTGCTAGGTTTATTTTGTCAGATCAGTTGGATTTGTTAGTAAAACAAGAGGAAATGATTATGGCACAAATATTTAATTGGGAACTCCATTAGCGTTTTCAAATTCATATGCGGATAGTGTATAACGGGAAGAGAATGGCCCACGTATTTATAACATGAGTTTAAGGATTCGATTAGCCTTAGCTGTTGTACACCATGACAACTAAACTGTAATTGACGTATGGAGGAGAGATAGATAAACTTTTCTAGCATCATGTCGCGACTATTTACGACTGGCGACACCCAATTTAACAACGCTCATTTATCACTTAGTCGTTACTGGCACCAGTATTTAAGATAACTGAATTGTTATTTTAAGCCGGAAGAAATAGTATATCTTCGGCGGGTGTTTATTTCTTAGGACGTTAGGCGATAAATTAATGAGAGATAAAGAAGAGGCGGGGTTTAGCTGAGACAGATACAGACGAGGACAGGGAGATGCAGCCAGATATTATGACCGATGACTCAGTAAGCATGATTTAGTAGAGTAATTAAGGTT